AATTTTAGAGTTGGAAGAAACCTCCTCAATCATCTGGATCAACCAGTCCCTGAGCAAGAATTTCTGTAGGCTCCACAGTAAACGTCTCCTCCCTCTGTCCCCCCTCCTCCACCCCCTTCCCCTATCTCTGCTTGTGGTCCTCTTTCTAAATGTTAGTATGGTTTTCTTTGACACCCTCATTTTGACTGGGCATCTAATCCTCTGCGGGGGGAGGGGAAAGGGAGGGACATCCTGGGGAGACTGTAAATCTAAAATAACTATATAGATGTGTTGGCAGTACCTGTTACACTACACAAAACCTACCATGATTTACCAATGTTGAAGTGGGAAGTTTGTACTGCTCTGATCACAGACCTCATAGGTCACATACTGTCCAGCATGATTAGCCTAAGGCAAGGACCACTTCAGCCCCAGGCATTTGCCTTCTCTGAAATCTGATTGAATCTGCCTTCTTTCAGACTATTCAAGAAATATGAGAGCCTGCCTGGAGGAATAGTGCCACTTATTTTATTCTGTTTTTGAAAAAACATTCCCTCTTGTCCCCAAACACAGACAGAGCCACGGTGACAACAAGGGTAGAATTGCTCTGCCGACATCGTTGCAGTCTTTAGGCCCATCATCCAGATGTTCCTCAGCTCTTTGTCTCAGTGCTGGCCTCTTCTTCCTGGAGGGGACTCAAGTATTCTAATAACCAGCGACTTGTTGCTTCCCTCCCTGCTTTTGTTATTCTCAACTCTCTTTTGATGAGGAATGACCTGTTAAGTGGAAGGAACAGGAGGGAAGGAGGAGACCTAAGACCATTTTGGGGGGATTATTTAAAAAAAATGAAGTGTGTGCATTTTTAGAACTATATACTATGGATATTTTCTCTCAGGGTCCTCCATCTAGTAATAACAGCAGCAGCTAGCGTTCAGAAAATACGTTACTAATGTTTCTTTTGATCCTCACAGTAACCCTGGGAGGTAGAGGTTATTATTGTCTTTTTTTTTTTTTACAGATAAGGAAACTGACGTAGGCAGAAATCGCTTGATGTCACACAGCTAGTGAGTTTCTGAGGCCAGATTTATACCAGGTTTTGCTGCCCCAGACCCAGTATTTGAGTGCCCATTGTGTGTGGGGCTGTGTGCTAGGTACAGAGATGAGCTTTGTCTGCCCAGAGTTTCCTGGAGCCCTCAAGGCTTCACTGCCCCTCCCTTGAGAATGACCTTTCTTTGAGCTTTCCATAGCACTTTGTTAGCATCTCTCTTATAATGCATTATTTCGACTGTGTCATGTCTCCCTGCAAAATTGTAAGCATCACAAAGCCGTGCATAGAACTTGAGCTAAAATTTGTGTCCCACCTACTTCACTTAATAAAGGTTTATGGAATTGATTGTGTGTCTCAGGATGGTTTTCTGTGTAAGCCCTGTGTCTCACAGAAAATGGAAATGACAGGTCTGTTCTTCCCTGATTGATAAAGTAGCCAAGTAGAATGATGCTAGAAGACATCAAATAAAGACATTAGAGAGAGAAATCAGAAAGTGATTTTTTAAATTTAAAGATTGAACCTTTCTGTGATAGTCAAGTCCTACACAATAACTCCTTGTGCACATAAAAGTCTTACAGGAGCCAGGTGGTCTGTAGTCAGTGATGTGCTGGTAAAGGTTTGACAGCCTTGACAACCTGGGGAAAAAAGTATACGCACCACACACTTTTAAGTTTAATCTGCAAGGGATGGGATTTGAACCCAAGCCCCCTAACTACAAAGGCAGTTCTCTTTTCACTGAACTAGATTGCTTCCATAAATGCTTACTCTGTGAAGTCCACTGTACTGAGTACCAGGGGTGTGGTAGTTCGTGGATTCAGTGATTGAATAAAGTTTAGCATGGCAATAAAAAAGAAAGTTCAATCTGCATTATTAACATAGTCTTCATCACTTTCTTTTATAGATGTTTTATATGTATATATTTAGTATTTTATTCCCAATTACATGTAAAAACAATTTTTAACATTTGTTTTTAAAAATTGAGTTCCAAATTCTTTCCTCCCCTCTCTCACCTCTCCTATCATTGACAAGGCAAGCAATTTTATATAAGTTATACATTTGCAGTCATGCAATACATATTTCTGTCTTATGTCGTAAAAGAGAAAACAGATTAAAAAACTAAAACAAGAAAAATAAAGTTTTTGGTTTTTTTTTAAAATATGCTTTGATCTGCATTCAGACCCCATCCATTCCTTCTCTGGAGATGGATAGCATTTTTCATCATAAGTCCTACAGAATTGTCTTGGATCAAAAACAAAGGGTGTGGGGGGGAGATTGTCTTGGATCTTTGTATTACTGCGTGTAGCTGAGTTGTTCACAGCTGGTCATCATACAGTATTACTGTTACCATGTGCAATGTTTTCTTGGTTCAGCTCACTTCACTTTGTATCAGTTAGTGTAAGTCTTTTCAGGTTTTTGTGAAAGCATCCTGCTCATCATTTCTTATAGCACAATCATATGCCACAATTTGTTTAGCCATTACCCAATTGTTGGGCATTCCTTCAATTTCCAGTTCTTTGGCACCACAAAAAGAGCTGCTGTAATTTATATATTTACATATAGGTCCTTTTCCTTTTTATTTTTTATTTCTGCACAGACCTAGTGGTGATATTACTGGGTCAAAGGGTATATGCATGGTTTTATAGCCCTTTGGGCATAGTTCCAAATTGCTTTCCAGATCAGTTCACAACTCCATCAACGAAGCATTAATGTCTCAGTTTTCCCACATCCCCTCCAAAGTTTGTCGTTTTCCTTTTCTGTTATATTAGTCAATTTGACAAGTGTGAGGTGGTACTCAGAGTTGTTTTAATTTGCAGTTCTCTGATCAACAGTGATTTAGAGCATTTTTTTTCACATGACTTAGATAGCTTTGATTACTTCATCTTAAAAGGGCCTGTTCATATGCTTTGACTGTTTATCAATTAGAGAATAGCTTTTATTTTTATAAATTTGACCATCCTGGCCTGTATTCTGGTCTGTGAGGGATCATAAACACTCTTTTCTGCCCTGGAACTGTGACCAAGGTTTCTGTTTCCCTGTGGCTGCAAGCTCTAGTGTGCTAACACCTTGCCTTGAGACTGCAACCCGGGACTGTGATATGGATCTGTGTATACAGGCAATGCAACAGAGTCCTGTACCAAGTGCCGGCTGAGGGACCTCTGAAATCTTTCTGAGCAGTTTTCCAGTCCACTTAACACTCTGTGGGCTTAGAGCTCTGGAAGCCACTGCTGTTGCTGCTACTGATTCAGTTGCCCCCAAGTCCTGCTGGGGCCCAGCCTGTGGTGGTCTGAGTTCCACTTTGTGTGACACACCTTTCCTGCCGACCTTCCAGGTCGTCTTGGACTGGAAAATTGTTTCACCCAGTCCTTTTGTAGGTTCTGCCACTCCAGAATTCTTTTTAAGGTGTTATTTGAAGTTGTTTGGAGGGGAATTTGGGAGAGCTCATGCAAGTCCCTGCCTTTCTCTACCCCCTTGGCTCTGCCCCTGCAACATCTTCTTTCTGCATCCATCACATTCTTAAATCTAGATAGTCAAGAAAACAATAAATTTAGCCCTGATTTGTAGTGTTTACCCATCTCTGAGACGTGACTACACTGTTGGCAGTAACAGTGGGAGCCAGAGTTACAAACGGCTTCAGCACTGCCTGTATGTTCTGTACTTGGGACAGGTGGTTTGCATAGGGGTTAAATAATTTCTGGAATGTTTGAACCTGCCTACCCACCTCTTTATATTGGAGAGAGTGGGGAATCTTCTCTCACAGCCTCCTTTCCAGATGAAGACCCTGGAGTCTAGAGAGGTGAAGGGACTTCCCCACACAGTCACACAGAAAGAGATCCCCAAATGAAAACTCACAGGTCAAGGAGAAAATACTGCAAGCAGCCAGAAAGAAACATTTCAGATATCGTGGAGCCACAGTCAGGATAAAACACCTCTGTGTTAGGCACTGAGATGTTAAAACAAATAAAGCCATCACTGCTCTCAAATTTGCATTCTAATTCTAATAGAGAAGTTGTTTATCTCCATAAATCTGGCACAGCCCATCAACAGTCCCAGCTGTCTGGTACATTTGAGCTACATTTTTCTGGGAAGAGGGGGCTGAGGGGGAGAATAGAGATTCTCCAATAGGGCCAGGCCTTTCTGCTACTAATCTTTTGCTCTGGGTGCCAGAGGATGCTTCTCTCAGGAGGATAGGGTCGTGAAGGATACCTTCACGAGTGATGAAGAGTTGGGGGGCTACTTCTGGGCATCTATAGAGGTAGGAGGAAAAAGTCAGTGTTTTCAAGTATATCTGCATGCTGGGCCCTGTGGTGCCGTCAGGGCCTTGCCATCTGTCGGCAGGTTCTCGGAAACACACTTCTCTCACGAGTAGAGGTAGAAATTGTCAGACGGTGGTTGGCCTTACCTCTGGTCGTGTCTTCCTCTGGTATATCTGACTTGTGTTGTCTCGAGAGGAGGTGGTCATTTTCACGTAGGGTCTTCAATAGAAACTGAATTTTCAGGTGTAGTTAATGTTCCTCAGTAGCTTGTTTGAAGACAAATGCTGGATGGCAAGTTTTTCCTGGCCATGCCCAAGCAGGCCAAACAGCTGAGAATTTGCTTTCCCAAGTCATTCTGTGGGTGTTCTGGGATCCCATGGGTGCCGTGTAGCGGATAGTGCCCGAGGAGGAGCTTGTGCTCATGTTTCCTCTTGCCCTTCTCTTCCTCGTGCATCAACCACAAGAAGAAAGGCCTGTTTTCAGAGGTGACACTTGGGGCCTAGAGCTCAGGTGAGCTTTCTTTTGCCTCATGTCTCCTTGGTTTGTAAGCGTAACTGAGGGAGATATCAGTGGGCTAAGAAAGCCAGGCTCACAGACCGCAGTGTCTGGAGGGACCCGTCCGCTTGGCCCCGAGGCAGGTGCTGTTGTAGCTTTTGGCAGTCTTCTGACTGACTACATCATTTTCAGGGAAGCACTGAGTTCCTATTTTTCCTTTTCAGTGGGAAATTGGTGTCTCCAAAGTGGAAGAACTTCAAAGGGCTAAAGCTGCAATGGAGAGACAAGATCCGGCTCAATAACGCCATCTGGCGGGCATGGTACATGCAGTGTAAGTGACCCCCAAAGCGAGAGGCCCCAGGGCTTCGTAGCAGAGGAGACCAGGACGGTCCTGGCAGGCGTCGGGTCCCTCCTGGGAATCCTCCATCCAGAATGTCACTCTGTGGAAAAGAGCCATGAGGGCATTGCTTTGGGAGAGTGCTACCCTTCCCCTAGGTAGAAGAGACAAGAAAACCAGAGGTAAGACCAAGGCAGGAGGGAGAGCCTGAGGAGGTAAGGACAAGCGCCGTCTGCCCAGCTAGTTCGGATCCCTGCCGTTCTGGAGGCTAGGGCAGAGCAGTGCACTTGTGCCGCACTAGTGGCTCCTGGAATGAGCCGGGCTCCCTCCTCTCTCCAGGTACTGTTGTAGGCACTTTTCCTCTGATCTCTACTTTTCATATCTCTTCCAGTTTAACAGGGAAGATAGCTAAGGAGGGGCCCCAAGCATAAGGGAGAGAGCATGGGGCATGCGGAAATCGTTGGGAGAGTTGCAGTTTCTTGCCTTCTTCCCCCTAGACTTAGAGAAACGGAAGAATCCCGTGTGCCACTTTGTGACTCCCTTGGATGGCTCTGTGGAAGTGGACGAGCATCGCCGGCCGGAGGTGCTTTGGGGAAACTGCCTTGTGGGGAATATGGGGGAGCATCGGAGCACTGTTCAGCCCTGGGTACAGGGGGGCCTCGGTACTGATGCTTGAGTTTCTTTAGCACCGACCCGATTTTAAGAAGTATTTACGTGTTTAAGAAGGAGTGTTCACTTGTCCTGTAAGCATTTTGCTAAATCTCCTATGTACTCCCTGCAGTGCCTTTAAAGCTCTTTCTTTCCTTCTGGGCCCCTCCGGTTTTGGTAGGACCTGAAATAGAAGCAAGCTACAATCTTCACCTTTCACCTCTAAGGGCTTTTGTGGCCTGAGAGATAAGGAAGTACCTTGTGAATGATGTTGTGAGTGTGAAGCATCACAGCCAAGGGCTAGGTGCTCCCCCTCCCTCTCCTGGCCTTTTTTGTCTGCTCTCAACACTGATACAGTCTCTGCCTCTGACATCTCCTTTGCCTTGCCCACATTCCAGGCCATCACCACAGAAGGGAAGTACTGGAAACGGCGGATTGAGATTGTGATCAGGGAATATCACAAGTGGAGAACATACTTCAAGAAAAGGGTATTTGTCCTTGGCACCAGAGAGAGCATAGCGGAGGCTGTCTCCCAGGGGTGGGGGCGGATGGCATCCAAGGCCGCACCTGAGCACTGTATTCCAGCTGCTAGTCTGTGGGCTGGCAGGGTGCTGTGACAGATGTTTACAGGCTCCCAATGTGTCTGTCAAAATCTTTAAACTTACAAATAGATTCTTGCTCATTCCACTTTGTCCCATCTTCTTCTGGTTTCTGTTGCTCCTTGAGCCAGCCATCAAAGAACAGGTCACCAACACGTTGAATCATTTTCCAGAGTAGTTTGATTTGGAAAACACTGCCCTGGCTAAGCAGAGCCAAGTATGTGGTGCTAAGAGTTTATTTACACTGGAACAAGGCAACTGGGCCCCATACTTTTGTTCCTCAACCTCCTTGCCTCTGGTGTGGCGGTAAGACTCCCAGCTCCCCTTTCTCCCAGAGAAAATATATATTTGGATAGTGACAGAACATCCTACAGACAGAGAAACCATCTCAGCGCCAGTGGCATAAAACACATCCTGCTCCCACATCAAGTCTTTGGTAACTTGGGTGTCCTTTTCTCCACAGCTACAGAAGCACAAGGACGAGGACCTTTCCAGCCTGGTCCGGGTGAGTGAACGTTTGGGAAGCAGGGTTGCTGTCCAAGCTAATCGCTCTTTTTTTTTTTTTTTGGCAGTTGAGGTTAAGTGACTTGCCCAGGGTCACACAGCTAGTAAGTGTCAAGTGTTTGATCTGAGGCCGGATTTGAACTCAGGTCCTCGTGACTCCGCGGCCAGTGCTCTATCCACTGCGCCACCTGGCCGCCCCCAAGCCAGTCATTCTTTAAGCCACCTTTGACCAAAATCATCTGGGCTTGGACTGGCCTGGCCTCTGAGAGAAGAGTGAATTAGGTGGCTTAGCAGGGGGCACCAAAGCCTGAGGTATTTTTGTGACTGAGACAAACTCCTACTTATTAATAGGAAGAATTGGGAGGAAACTGGTTTACAAATTAGACAGCACCATATAAATATAAATTGCTGTTATTTTCATCATCATCATTGCTAGGCTAGTGCTCTCTTAAAAACAGGACCTAGGGACTCAAAATTTGCCTGGGGGCTGCTAGGTGGTGCCTGGAGGCAGGAATGCCTGAGTTCTAATTCAGCCTTATACACTTACTAGTTTTGTGACCCTGGGCATATAATTTAATCTGTCTTCCTCAGTTTCCAAAACTGTAAAATGGAGATAGCAATACCTGTCTCCCAGGGTTGTGACAAGGATCAAATGAGATAATATTTGTTAAGTGCTTAGCATACAGTGCCTGGCACACAACAGGTACTTAATAAATATTTATTGACTGACTTTCTTCTAATTTAAAACAACAGGGTCTTTATCAGCAACTCTTGTCTAACACTCCTCAGGTGACTAGAGGAGACTTCTTGATGCCCTGTAGTTAAGAATTCAAGGTTATATTTCCTTTCTTTTTTTTTAACCTTTTGTTTTCTTTCTGCTTCCTATGGGGGTAGGATGATGACCTGCTTTTCTGGCATAAGGGTGGGGATGGGTGGGACACCCCAGTCCCCATGGAAGAGGATCCACTCTTGGACACAGACATGCTCATGTCAGAATTCAGCGACACCCTCTTTTCCACTCTTTCATCGCATCAGCCAATGGCCTGGCCCAACCCAAGGGAAATAGGTAACTTCGGTCTCTTTGTTTCCCCGGTGGTTGAGGACTTCACTGGTTTCCCCTCAATCCCAGTCGCTTTTTATGCCAGGTTTAGTTAATGAACTTTACCTCACTCCCCCAGGGTCTCTCTAGTGGAATATGGAGACTGGGCAGTGTTTGTTTGGTACCACCACAAGAGACTGAATACTGAGCTAGATGGGCAATTGGCCTGATCCCCTGTGGCATCTCTGTGGTTCAGTTCAGTTCAAGCTTTCAGTGAGTTCTGGCTATGGGCCAGGCACTGTGAAGTGCTGAGGATACTCAGACAAAGATGGAGTAGTCCCTGCCCCCAGGGAGCTCCCATTCTACCCGAATGCTATCTTATGCATAGGTGTCAGTGATGATACTATTTTATTTGTTCAGGAGAATCTAAAGCAAATCCTAGTATAGTCTTTGGGCCTCATGACATTGGTATCCTGCCTTCTTTCCGCTAACCTTTTTGGTTAGACACAGGGTGAGAATCAGAATTTAGGGGATCTCAGCTGTACTGGGCTGAATCTAGCAGGTGTGTCTGAACTAAGTTTAGTATTGATACGGTGAGCCCCTGGGAGCAGGGTCCCCTCAGGCTGCCTGAGGGAGGCCTAGCCAGTCCAGATTGGAAGCAGAGCAGACCCCTCAGAGTAGGGGGGTAGCCCTGCACTTTTAGCCTAAGTGAGATAGGGAGACCCAGACTTTTCAAAACAACAACAATGCAGAGAATAGCTCGTGCTCTAGTGAGGATGAGCAGACTGCTGAAGAAAGCCGTGCAGATGTGCTGTCTTTCTGAGGAAGGCTCCGGAGGTGTGTCCTAGCCTCCCGGGTGGTTCCTCCGGCCTTCTCTACCCTGGTGTACCATCGGCTGAGTAGCCCGATTTAGCTCCTTTCTCCTTTCTTGTAGCACATTTGGGAAATGCAGACATGATCCAGCCAGGGCTAATCCCTCTACAACCAAACTTTGACTTCATGGACACATTTGAACCTTTCCAGGGTAAGCACATGGTGCAGAGAAGGGGGCCTGGCCCCCTTCAAGTCACGGTCACACCTCTCTTTGTAATTCCCAGAGGAGTCAAACAAATGTTTAAGTCCAGAGTTCTGTAAAAACTGAGGTGACTTGGAGCTGTTCATGAGCCACAGGAGCTACCTTTTCCCGGGTCAGTCCTTTTTCAGTGGTACTGATGGGGAAAAGATGTGCGTCTGGTCTCTGCTGGGCCCTGTCTGCTGTCCTTCCTTCCCTGAGCCCCAGCCTTGGCTCTGGCTGCGGACAGTTCTCCGTCTGTGCAGCAGAGGGCACTGGTGACAGGCCTAGCCCAGCTGGGATGTCTCACAATAAGCCCTTGATCCTTGGACCTGAAGAGCAGTTGAACATGGGGCACTGGTGACAGGCCTAGCCCAGCTGGGATGTCTCACAATAAGCCCTTGATCCTTGGACCTGAAGAGCAGTTGAACATGGGGCTGTGGGGGTTGTTCTGAGTGAGCCCTAGCAGGCTGTCAGGGACTGGTTCCGTACTAAGAAAGCTGGCCCAGCAAGGATGAGCAGCTTCTACTCCCTGTCCCCACTCTGGATGGGGGGAGGCTAGCATTTCTAACCCCATAGGCACCTGTTCGTCTGTTCAGAGGCTGTCTGGGGCTTTGGGACTTGAGGGCCCTGACCTTGTCTTTCAGACCTGTTCTCGTCCAGCCGCTCCATCTTTGGCCCTACGCTTGCTGGACCTGCTGTTTCAGCTGCAGCAGACCCCAGCAGTCCACCAGCACAGGTAGGGGTGTCCGGTCCATTTCCAGATATTTGTCTGCAGGCTTGTGCCAGGGGCATACCCGTTAGGACTGTGATTTATGAGTGAAGGACTTTGAGATGTTGCAAGGAGTTATTGTCAGCCTTCCTTAAGTACGTGAGGTGGGAAGTGGAGACGATCTGGTTCCAGGTTTGGGAATACTTGTGCATTCCCCTGAGCTAGGATGTCTGGAATGGCTACAAGATGTGGATTCTGTTTATTTCTTTCCCTTGTTTTTGACCATGTAGAAATTCCACTGTAGCCTTGGGCAAAGCTTCTCTGGGGAGGGTGGGGTTGTGAAATCTTTATTGCTTATTCCCAACCTTTGGGAATGTGGGACATCTGTAGAGCCAGATATGTGCTAGTATCCCAGAAGACCCTGAATGCCCCTGTAAACCTTAATTCTCCTGTCTTATAAAAGAAGAGGAGGATTTGTGGGAAACTCAGAGTGTTAAGATCCTCCATAAATGTGGAAGTGTTTTTTGTTGCTGATTTCCTTTTCTCCCCAGGCTCCATTTTGGAGTCCGGCCTCTGTTGGGATCATCTGGGGAAGTTAAGACAGGCATTACTCCCCTAGACTTGCAGTAATGTGTTTGGGTGTCTTTGCCTTTGTTCTGTCTCACAGGAGTTGAATCCTTTGGGGTCTCAGTCCAGGTTTTTGGAGCTTACATTATGTCAGAAGCTGAGGAAGAAGAGCTCTTTAACTCTGGTGTTGTCTCTTTTTTTTCCTCAGGGGCCCGTCCTATCAGGGGGTACTCTGCCCACTGTGAGCCTCCCTGACAGCCTCATTGTCCCACCAGGGCCAGCCTCCCTAGGCCCCGCGGAAAGGCGGAGCTGTGAGCGTGGGCCCCGACTTGGGGGCCCTTTCCTTCAGCCCACAGACTTTGGTAGCCCAGAGCCACCCCTGAGTGGTCCACAGACTTTCCTCCCAGTCTTTCCAGGTTCCCTGCTCTCTCCCGGCCCAGCACCAACACCGTCTTCACCTCCAATGCCGTTAGTGCCCCCTCCAGGGGCTACTCTGAATGCCCAGGCTCCGCCTACTTTTCTGCAGTCACCGAAATTGGGCAAGTCATCCTCAGTCATCACCCACACAGCCTCGGCTACGCTCACCCCTGATGCCTCTGCAGCTGCTTTCAGCCAGAGCCAGGGCCTCATGCTAACTGCACAGCAGCCAGCCCCACCAGGACCGCCCTGTGGCCTGACAGTGCCTCCAGCCATTGGGCCAACCCAGTCTCGCCTGACTTTTGTCCACCCTAAATCTGTGCCCTTGGCTAGTGGGCGAGCCAAGCCACCCCCTAAAATAGTGCCTGCTCCAAAACCTGAGCCCGTGTCCTTGCTGTTAAAGAATGCTTATATCACCCCAGGTGAGTGAGGTGGATAAATGAATGTAGGACCTTCTTGACCCCCAACAAATGAAGCTCCAGTTCTTGGGGTTTGTGGGGTCCTTGTGGGAGCACAGGGTGAAGGTAGAAGCTATTCTAGGGGTCCTGGGAGCTGTTTTCCTGAGCCTCCTCTTGGGGAGGGATCCCTTGGATGTGGGAGATTGGCAGGACTTGGTTGTTTTATGCCTTTGGTATGGGCAATGACTGAAGTGACATGGTGGCTCTTTGTAGTGAGGTTGCCCTGACCTTGCCATGCTAGTCCTTGCTGTTCCTGCTGGGCTCTGAGGGCCTTCAGCCTAATCTCCTCCTTGTTCTTCAGCTGCCTTTTCAGGACAACCCCAAGCAGTGATTGTGACCCCTGGCCCTCTGAAGAGAGAAGGGGTATTGACCTCTACTATGTCCCAGCCCAATGTGGTCATCACCAGGGTGAGGAAAGCAGGCTCTCTTTGTTGTGGGAGAAGAGGGCAGTGGGCAGTGGATGCTAGGGGATCCCCTTCTCTTTTGGTCTCCTGGTTACTCTAAAGTGTCCTTTTTCCAAGGACACCTCCCATCCCATCCCACTCCAGGGTCACTCGGTCCCTTGCCATTAGGATTAACCAGTCTTCCCCTCTCTGGCACGCAGCTGTCATCAGGCAGCAGACTGTTCTGAAGACTGACTCCTTAGATAAGTAATGTCCATCTCGCTGTTGTCGCAGGCTCCTGGCGTCACTGAGTTCCATAGTGGCATCCTGGTTGCTGCAGACCTTGGCCATGCTGCTAGTAGCCAGGCATCCCCAGCCTCCCGGCTCTTCTCCCCAAGTGCTGTGCAAGACTCTTTAGTGAAGGGCGAGCAGATCTCACTTCACGGAAGTGGTTCCCAGATTGCCTCTCCATCTTCCAGTGAGTGTTTAATTTGGGGGGAAGCAGACCCCTTAAGTTAGGGGTAAAGATTAATAAAATAAAATAAAAAACCAAGCATTTATTTCTGGCTTGACAGTGTCCAACATTTATTTCTCCATAAATTTAGATATGATACAGTTATTGCTCTCATAGAGTTTAGTCATAATACGTAATACCTTCAAGAGGCATAAAAGTACTTTGTGAAGTCCGAGGGGTTGGGGTAGAGGAAGTGGTAGATTGCCAAGAGGTAAGAAAAGTCATACCTCTGGTATTGTGCTTCACCATCCTTCTTTGCAGAGGTGGAGGGGGCATTTGAATGACACTTTAGTGAAGTAGGACATTTCCAGGCATAGGGGATAAGGATCAGAAAAGGCACAGAGGTGGAAAAGTACAGAGTTGGCTAAGGCACAGACCACCTGGCACATTTTACATACCTTGGTACAGCAGAAAGCCTCTGTGACCTTGGGCAGATCACTTAACTTCCCTGATTGTGAAGTAGGGAGAGTGGACTAGATATTCTGAGGTCCTGACCAGCTCTGGGTCTTTGATCTTAAGGCAGTAAAATAAAGCTGGAAAGGTGGGTCTAGATTGTGCAGGGCTTTCAATGCCTGGCGAGTTAGTGAGTAGGAAAGGAGCCAGTGGACTTTTCTGAGCAGAGGCCTAACGGTCAGATCTACGAATAAGAATGATTAGTGGCCCCCTTCCTGCCTTTCCAGTCTTCTTATCCCTTATCCCCCACCACATAGTCTTCGGTCCAGTGTCACTGCCCTGCTTAGTGTTCCAAGAATGAGGCACTTCATATGTCTGGTTGTTCTCTGGAATGGCTGGAATGCGGCCTTCGCTCACTTCCGTCAAAGGTCAGCTAAATCCCACCTTCTCTAGGAAGCCTTTTCCTGCCCCTCTAAACTCTAGTGCCTTCCCTCTGTTAATTATTTCCTGTTTTTCCTGGGTATAGCTTGTCTCCCCCATGAGATTGTAAGCTCCTTGAGGTCAGGGACTGTCTTTTGCCTCTTTTTGTATCCCCAGTGCTTAGCACAGTGTGACACATAGTAGGCACTTAATAGATGATGATTGATTGACTGACCTGCTAGAGAGGCTGTTGTCCAGCCTGAACATTAATTCCCTCTACAGTGTGTCTGACATGGTCCTGTAACTTTGGCTTCATGATCTCTGTAGCTACCTCCTGAAGAAATCTGATCCATTTTTGGACACCTTGAATTGTCAGGAAGCGGTTCCTTACACCACACCTAAAAATGCCTCTTTGCAATTCCCAACTCTGTGTATCTAGGTGTGCCTTCTGGGGCCTAGCAAAATGAGTCTTCGCTATGGAACAGTTTCTCTTCAAACCCTTCAGAAGATAGCTATCTTGTTCCTTCACGTCTTTTTTTTCCAAGTTACGCATTTCCAGTTCTTGCCACAGATCCTTAGGTAGCATGATCTTTTGAACTTTCACTGTCTTGTTAGCCTTCTTCTAAAAAGGACCCTTTTTGTGTCATGTACCCCTCTTGAAGTCTCGGGAAGCCTGTATTCCCCTGCTCAGAATAATGTTCTGTTAGACAAAACATTGATGTTTACCAAATTAAGCAAAAGTTAGAGTAGCTGGCTCTCTCCTTTGCTGCAACAGAAGGTGAAGTCTTTCCTGAAGGAAGCCCTGGGGGGGATATAGATTTGTGTTTCAGTTAAAGTCAGTGGATAAGGCACTTAGACTCTGAACTGAAACACCAGAAAAAGAACACTTCCACACCTTTAGCAAAACACCAAAGATGGATCTGTGTACACTGTGAATCTCTACTGCATATATCTTGTGCTTTCCTTTCTACAGAATACAGTGAATTCTACACATGGCTTTCAGGCTGTCCTGCTTGTCTGTTCTCCCTTCTGAACAACCTTCTGTTCTCTTTTATGCATTTAGGAAATGTTACAATGTCCTCCTTTTTGTCCTTAGTGTTGCCAAGCTCCCTTCAACATACTTCTCCCCTTCCCCATTTATAAGCCTGGAGAAAAAAAAAATTCTTTGTAACAAATAAACATGGTCAAAACAGATCCTTACAGTGGCCTTGTCCAATACTGTGTATTTCTGGACCTTGTATTCGTCACGTCTCTCTCAGGAGGTGGATAACTGACTTCATGGAAGCAAAATAACACCCCCTTACCTTTCTATGCCAGTTTGTTCAGCCATCCAAGGCACCCCCGTAGATTCTAGTTCTTTTCTCTTCCCCACCTCCTCCCCAACTTTCCAGAATCAGGAAATTTTGTTTTGCTTTCAGTTGTTTGCTCCTTGGTATGATTCTCTTCCTTCCCCACCTGGCCCCTAATCTTCGCTCATTTCCCTGTTGAGCTAGATCTGGGCCTCAACCAAATTGTTTGGATGTGAAGGCCCTCTGACCACCCCACTCCTTTCACCCCTTACTTCACGTTTGTTTGTTCCTCTTGCATCTGCAATCCTGAGATATAACAAGTTCTGCCCCCCTTCCTCCTCTTTTCCACACCAGTGAATTCCTTTACCCTCCTCCAACCCTAAAAAACAGAGGCAGCCCACTGCCAAGGCTTAACTCCCCCACCACCCTGTGAAGAGGTGAAGGTTTCAAGGGTCACTCTTCCCCCATTACGTCAGCACTGTGTCAGCACACGGCTGGCTGCTTCCCTGTACGTTCACCTGTTCGGGGGTGTCTGGACGTCTCAGTGCTCCTGATCAGTGCAGACCTTTCCATCAGAGGTGCTCAAAAATCCTCATCTCTTGCCAGTCTCTTCTCTGTAGAATTAAAGTGCCTGAAGGGCAATCAGTTTCATCTTTTGATTTAGTTTCACTATTTCTTGCCATCTGGTGGTATCAGTTGGTTTGGCCCATTCTGGTTTTCAGTGAGTACCTTTTTTGGGGTAAGGCTCACACCCCAGCTGTTGTTCTCCTGGTTTTTTCCTCCAGAGCTTTCATCTCTCACTTTGTTCCTTCAGGGTTCTAGCCATTCTTGTGGAACATTTGTTTTCCCTTGGACTCTGCTTACAGTCATTAGAGTTGCTGTCTTCTTTTGGAGGACCTTCAGATCTGTAATGACTTTCTCTATTGGTCAGTGTTCTCTTTGATTTCTTTCTCTCTCCAGCCTCATTTCTTTTACTGGGGCTTTGTGCCAAGGCCAGGCTCCGCTTCCTGTGAGACTTAGAGGGGAGGGAGGATTGGCCTGCACTGGTCTCATCCCGGGTTCTGGCTCTGTGCCGAGGGTCTCCTGAATCTTTGCGCTTCAGAGCTCTTGGTCTTCGGAATGCTCCTTGGCATCTCAGGAGAGTGAGGACATCAGAGCCCCCGTGCCTGAGACTATAGGGGTGTGGTTGTTGTTGGTTACTGCCTGCTTCCCCTCCCTGAGGCTTCGGAGGCCCCCACTCTGGCACTTCGGACCGTGCTGGGAATGGAAGCCCTCCATTCTTGCTGCCTCTTGACAACAAAGCCTTGCAGCTGAGATGTGTCCTGTCTCTGTCATGCTGACCCTGGCTTTGCTGTAGGGAGCCCATTTCCCATTTGTTTAGGAGTCGGCTTCTGGCTGACTTCTTGTGCAGTTTAGAGATGGAAGAAATCACTTACTGTAGTTTCTCATTGGATTTCTTGGTCGCTGTTTGGTCTGGTGCAGACATCAGGGTTTTGTGGGAGTGGATACGTTGGAACTGGGTGGCCCGCTTTCTGTCCAGCTCAGAGTACATGTTCGGACAAACATGTGTATGTGGTTTTTTTTTTTCCCTAGTTCTTAAGAATCTGCCAGGGCTCAAAGAAAGAGGAGAAGGAACTATATGTACACACACATTGATAGCTCTTTTTGTTTTAGTGAAAAACTAGAAACTAAAGAGATGTGCATCAGTTGGGGACTGGCTAAAGAAATCATGTCCTATAAATGTCATGGAATACTATCAGGCCATAAGAAATGATGAATGGGTCAGTTTCATTGAAACTTGAGAAGCTTGCAGAGTGAAGTGAGCAGAACCAGAACAGTGATAACACTATAAAAATATCATCTTGAAGGCCTTGAGAACGTGCATCAATGCAGTGACTAACGGACGAGGAAATGTGCTCCTCGACTCCTGACAAAGAGGTGATGGACAATAAAAGTAATGACAGCAGCAGCAGCAGCTAACATTTATGTACTGTGTACTGTGCCAGGCACCTGCTAAGCACATTGATCCTAGCAACAGCGCTGGGAGGTAGGGTGCTTTTATTATCTTTGTTTTATAGATGGGGAAACCAAGGCAAACAGGTGAAGTGATTTGCCCAAGGTCACAGGACTAGTGAGTCTCCGAGGCTGGATTTGAACACAGGTCTTCTGACTTCAGACCCAGAGTACAGAATGAGACGTAGGGGGTTTTGGACATGGCTGATGTGGGAATTTATTTTGTTTGACTATGCTTATTTGTTAGAAAAGTTTTGTATTTTTTTCCCCCCTCTCTATGGTGGGGGAAGGGGTGGGATTTAGAGAAAAGTGATTTTTGTTCATGGAAAGAAATGTAATAATGAAATACACCCTTCCAGATGGTGTCTCCCAGGCCAAACCTTTTGTTTTACTTTTTCCTTCCTCCATTTTGCCTTTTGTTTTTTCCTCTGCTTCAGGTTCATCCAAACAGTGCTGTCACAGGAACGCAGACTTAGAGCTAGAAACTAGGCCTTCGAAGGCCAGATGAGTGCAGCTTCTCTGTGGCCACCCAGGCAGTGAGCCTCAGAGAGCGGATTTGAACCCAGGTCCTCTGCCTTCAGAGCCTGTGTTCTTTCCCCTGTGCCTGCTGGTGGTGGAAAGCAGAGGTATCAGACTCGCTGGAGTACTGCCAGAACAGGATTAAAGTGTGGTTGGGAAATGATTAAAAAAATGCATTGTAGATAATGTTGATTTGTGGTGGTTTTCTAAGTTGCTCTGCTGTGGCCTGTAGGGATCCATTTCTGTTTGAGTTTGACACTGCTGCTCTGAACAACTTTTTTTTTTTTTGCTTCTTTTGCTTTCCACCTCCACTTGTGAATCATCATCTTG